CAATAATAATAAAAAAGAATTTAACAGCATTTAAATAAACTAATTATTAAAACTATGTTTTCCTGAGTGAGTAGAAGACAGTTTAGCAACATGATCTTTTCTGCTACAGATAGAGAGCTATCAGTTTGGTCTATCAGAAGTCACACGTGATTTTTAATGGCAGTTTTTAGTGTAGGTAAACACTATTCAAAATTCCATTCCAAATTCTTTATTTTATACTTTCAGGTACCTACAAAAATTCTAAAACCAGTAAAGAAAATAATTCTCCTTTGCCATTCATTTGTTCTTAACTCTCAACATTAAGAAGTTGCAATGGCTTATCAGCAGAAGCTCCTCCGGAGGTTGTTCATTAAAAGAATTTTCTGATTATTGGGACTGAATACCCAGACCAGGTGCAGAATTCTGATCCTCAAGCTACAGAGCTACTGTAAGAGTTGGCACAACTCCCTCTGGAAGCAAGGTCAAGCCTAAGTGCATGCAAATCCCAGGTCTGAAGACATGGAAGACACAGACTGCAAGACAAAACAGAAATCTCTGAACTGAATTATTTCTTCATCAGCACATGAAGGTCTCATGAATAAAGCAGTGTTGTAATTCATCACTATGAGAAGGAAGCATTCTAACACTTTCTGTATGATTTGGGGAAATATAGATAAAATCTGTCTGATTCATGGTATGGAATGATACAACTGCCATGATACCACAATAAATATCTACCTACCTATGCTGACCAGAACTCTATCACATTTTTCCCTGGAAAGATATTAATGAAAACCAGCAACTTTAATGACTTGGCTCTGTCTGTACAATAGGAATACTACAAAAACAAAGTAAAAGTATAATCTTGCCTTTGTAGCAAGAGAAGAAAGAGGGTGTGAATATACAAATTTCAGGTTAAAGAGGGAAAGATGCTAGTAGAACATTCAAGGGACTCTAAAAAACTAGTGAAGGGTTTAGCCAGGAGAAAAAGATGAGCATATTTAGCCAAAGACTCTCTAGCTCAAGGGCAAACAAGAAATACACAGGACCATGTTCCTGATGCAATTCAGAGGGATTAAAACACCTGAAGAAGGTATAACTTCCAGGGTGTGTTATTTTAACACAGGTAATTAATGTAGTATGTCATACTGTTACAGTAAAAGACAACAATGGCGTTAGAATCCCTAGGAGTATTTTTGGGCATGCTCTCATATCTCCCATGGTACCCCTCAGGATTCTGGGAAATTGTTTTTAACCTGAAGTGTGATCTTGAGATAGCTGCTCAGTCGCCTGAGGCAGCTGAACAGTGGATCCAAGCACAGGGAAGAGTGCTAAAACATGAAACCTTCTTTCAAGTGTTCCTGAGTCTCCAGCCTTGGAGCACTAACCACATTCCCTTCAGCTTCCAAAGCACGCTGGATCCAGCAGTGCAGCCCAAAACTTCAGTATGGTGAACAATCAGCTGGAGAGGGTAACCAGATCCCAAACAAACACTACTCAGATTCTCATTTTAAACCGTTCATAATTCCAGTTCACATCATATCAGGACAAAAGAGTCTTTCACAAAATGCTAACCTCAAATTCCCTTTGATGAAATACAAAAACAGTGGTAAACCAGAGAGGGGATTTTACAGTGATAGCAAAGGATCTCTCTCATCACTTGAAAGTACTACTTTCTATTCATGATAATATTCTGATGTTACAGCTCAACTCCAAACCTGCATTAGCAGTTCATATAAGAAGCATTACTAACCAGCTACAGATTAAGAAACAGTAAACAAGGATGCCCACACATCTCATTGAAAGCACATCTACCAATTCCACACCAAGTTCATTGGCACCTGCAGCAAACCTGCAACAATAAATCCTCTACAGCCAGAGGTACTTGGGAATTTATGAAAATCAGACTCAGTATAGTGTGAGTTTTGTTTTTCCTGATTCCTAAAATATTTATTTTAATATTTTAGGAATTTTAATATATTAAAATAAATATAATTATTTAATATAAATAATTTATAATATTTCTAATAAATATTACATTTTTAAATATAAAAATAATTCTGACAAATATTCAGATTTTTTGAAATTTGTTGCACAAAGTTTATATTATTTGGGGACATGGTCTTTTAAATTAGTGCACACTGACCTAGACTGGGCACAGACCCAGAAGCTCTGTCTCTCCTCAGGTAGCTGGGTGGGAAGACACTTGAGAGTCTTGCAAGTCATGTTACAGCAGGCCTGTGTCCCAGCAGCTCTGTGTGGGCTCTCAGATGAACCTGAATGAATCTTTGTAGACATAACTTTAAAAAAATCTCTCAGAGCTATGAATATAGGTAGAGTTGGTATTTTGCTTGTGTCAACTTTTGACCAATGTGACCTATCTAAAAGTTAATATAATATTAAAAAAAAAATCTCCATTACAGACTTTTTCAGTCTGGAGTACTAATAGTTTATTTACCCTTCTTCTAGTGTAATTGATAATAATAATAGATAACTAATAATTTACATTACTTTAAAATACTGTTTCCTGTCCCAGGTAGGTGGAATTTTGCAGAATAAATACTAACCCGAATTTAAATTGAAGAATGAGATTTACAAATACCTGCATTCAAACTATCTGTGAATACAGAGAAATGATTAAAGAAATTCTTGGTAACTTCTGCCAGATCAAAGACTTAGGTCAATACTGACAACTTTTAACCATCTTGCACGACTCTTGCAGACAGTTCCACAATGCCAATTTGCTCATTACAGAGGACAGTTATATTGTCTCTCCACTTTCAGAGGCTCTTCAGGATGGACACAGCTAGCTACTAAACCCACTACCAAGCTGATTAATTTCAATATTACCTTTGTGAATTGAGTGCAGAAGCAAATTATTTGTTTAAAATGTCAACCTTTGAATGAGAAGCATTTTGTTTATAATTTTTTTCCAGAATAAACATTTTTTTAAAAAAGTAGCAGAATTCCAAACACAAACCAATGACTACCTGAACTAATGTCAAGTTCAGAGAAGACAAAGAACTCTCTTGTTCATAGAACTTTTAATTTCTTCCCCTAATCAATGAAGATTTTATTATTTTCCTCCAGTTAGGATTTTGACCAAATCCTACATTCAATTCAAACCATGTTGCTCACATAACACATAGCAAGTCACAAAGATATGTAGCAAGTGTTTAATCTTCAGTGGAAAATCTAGTGGTTAACCATGCAAACAAATTATTTAACATTTTGCTCAGGAATCATTGCATTTCCAACTCCAGAGTGGTTAACATCTGCGTGTCATTTCAGGAACACATAGTTATGGTCAGGACATCCAGAGTCTGTATCCCCTAAAGCAAAAGTGTGGAAGTTGAGGTTCTGAGGCACTTGACTCAACCAGGCCATTAAATTTTCCTTCTCCTGTGAATGATCTGAGGTAATTTCGACAACCAAAGCTGGAAAATTTATCCTCAGCTAAATGATTCATGAGTCTACAGAATGCTTAAATTCAGAAAAAGACTGAAAGTAGCAACATGGAAATTGAAAAAAACACTGAAGAAACGCAACTACAGGAAAAAAAATCTAGCATGAGATGTCTTTAAAGAGGTATCATGCATAGGAACAAAGACAAAAAGCAATTTTCCCCTCTGTGAAAAGAGCAATAGTATTTCCAGTGATTCTTTATTAAAAGACCACTGAATTGCTTGTAGTCTTTTCCATTAGGAAGATACAGACAAAGAAAGACACTGTAAGACAGAAGAGATCACAAAGATGCATGCAAAAGCAGAATAAATCCCATAGGATAGGCATAATAATAGAATGTGGAAAATACAACCTGTTTGCAGCAAATTAGGATGGCATATCTAGGCACAAATGGCATGCAGCAACTTAAATACTCATCAGAAAAAACCTTCACAGTGGAAATGATGAAATGCATTGTGGAGTGATCCATCTTTGGATGTAAGCGTTATTCATGTTTTGAAATACTATGTCACTGAAGCACTTCTTTAAAAACCGAATATTGTAACGTCTTACATGGCAGAAAACACTTTTAGCAACTTCCCTTATGCTCAGTATAAAAAGAACAAAGGATATATCAAAGATCATTTACTTGTGTGTTTGCAGAGGCTCAGCAAAAGTGAATGAAGAATTGAAGTGTAAGAGGCTCTGATAAAGCTGGTAGTGACACACAGCCTGGAACTGCCTTTGTACAACTCCCCTGCTGCAATCACTGTTTCAGAAGCTCTGGGTCAGTGGATGGATTACTTTATCCAAGAAGTCTTCTCCCCTCCTGTGGAACATCTCTGAAGCTGTGCACAGTGTGGTCCATGTGGCCCAAGAATGGCATGACAGGATCTTCTCTCACATAATTTCTAATAATTCTGCATACTTCAGGAGCAAAATTCTCCTCTTAAATCTGCAGCCTAGTCTTCCTATAGCTATGATCATAAACTGAAGTTTGCTGTGCACTGAAAATCAAAGTGAATTATCCCAACCTGAGTAGCTCCATTCTTTGAAAATTCTTTCCAAAAGTTAGTACCAAAGAATCTGCAGTTGAGTATTTGTTCCTCATCTAGACATTTTATTTTGTTAACTTTCAAAACACAAATGCAGTTATAAAATACCACAACATATGATAAATTGGAAAATGGCATCATACAGTTATATAAAAAAAACCTAAAGGAGATAAAACTTGGCATGATTTATATTTAAAAAGGAGGTTATTACAAAGACATTCAATGTGTTCAGTGGTGTTCTCTGGTGGCATAGAGATTTCAATGAATCAGTAGATTTCCTCAAAAAAGTATGCACACTATTATTAATCTCATGGACAGAATCCGACAATATATTTTGTACAAGCAGGACCAAATTGCTAATGCTGCAATTTTTAAAGAAATTTTCAAAACTTGCACACCCAAATTCCACCAAAATATGAGCATCTAGTTCAAATTAAGTTTCTGAACATCTTTCACGATGAGTTTCCCAATCCCAAAGCACTATAATTCCTTTTACTAAGGTAGGCTTTATTATTAGATCACCTTTCTCATAGAGCTCTTCCATCGCTCTCCAGGTTTCAGCTCGGACCTCTCGATTGCTTTTACCTGGAACCTGTGCATCAGGCCAGTGAATCAAATAAAGATCTAAAAAAGAAACAGAACCAGACTGCTTATTAAAGTGTCCAAAAATAAATAATCAAACCACATGAGACAGCATTTTCCCTCCAGTGGCCCCTAACACATCATCATAATAATATTTCCCATCACTACTCAGTGACCATTGGTGGATGTATCCAGTTAGTTGTAATAAATGAATTCTATAACATCACATTAACAGCTAAGGGTAGCAGAACTTGCACATGTTCCACATGCTTAGGTCACTGTAATCAGAATTTCATGGTCACATATGCACTTAATAAACTTTCCACACATAACAAGCCCTATTTAAATCAAAAGGATTTTGGTCACTGGAATTATGAGTGGACTACTACTTATTATGTGCTGCAAGTCTTCCATTTCACAGAAGATAAATATATTTGACAATTCTGCAGATATTTTATATAACCTCAGCAGTGGGTCTGTCTTTTTCCTTTCTAAAGAATACTTCCACTTATGAATTTCTGTTGGAAACTACAGCACATTCTTTATGCAGATTTTTTGTCTAAGTTTTCTTGTCTAAGTTTCATGTCAGCCTTTGTAATTTTTTAAAATAAATTAAAAAAAAATAATACTTTAAGGGAACAAAATTATGCTTTATTACATTTTTTTTTTAATATTAGCACAATTTCAAACACAGTTAAGATTTATTGCTGATGAAATTATCATGGAATCATAGAACCTTTTCCTAACATCCAACCTAAACCTTCCCTGACACTGCTCCATGCCATCCCTCGGGTCACTGGTCACCAGAGAGAAGGGACCAGAGCTGCCCCTCCACTGCCTCTCGTGAGGAGGCTCTTTGTGTGCTGTCTTCCTGCAAGACAAGACTGTGCTTCAATTGAAAAGGAAGCACTTCCAACATACATTGAGAAATGTACATGTACTGGACTCAGTTCCAAATCAGACTTAAATTTAAAAAATTACAAATCTATAACTCCTTTACAAGTTTGTAGACACTGCTAGACATTCTGAAGGAGAAAGGGAGATAAACTTGGAAAACAATTACATTTCTATTCAAATTCCAACTGCAGATTAAACAGGTAACTGCAGGTATCCCAGTCAAACAGGTTTTGGCCTTTGCTGCATATATTAGCCTGATGAAAAACAGGAAAAGAAAATAAATAGATGACTGAGATGTGTACCATTTTCTTTGTGCTTTGTAATATTCCGTTTGTGTCAGTTCAAACAGAGGTAAGAAATAAAAAACCATGGATTGTTTTCAATTACAAGAGTGTTTTGTTCTTTGGATACATTAATCCATTCATTTACAGCACTTTTTGTGAAAATACAGATACTTTGCTTTGGGAATCATGAAAAAAGGGGGGGAAAAGAAAAAAAAACCTTTTATTCACAATTTAAGGACTACACTAACAATTACTGTATCAGTGGGGTGGTATATTAGCTTTCCCCCTCTAAAAATACAAATTCAACCTTGATTTAAGATTAAAATGTACCATGAAACTCCTTTTAATACACCAGCTCCAATTTTGGTACATCATTGCAACAAGCAAGTGCTTTACTTACCTTAAAAATCTAATCAGAACAGTACAGAAATATGTACAGTAAAATACATTAGAGATGTAGCAAGGAAAACATTCTTCTGGATGTGTCACAAAATCCACAAGCTACATTTGCACTTCCTGATATCAACAGTCCATTTAAATACAATTTTACATTCTTAGACTTTTTAAATACAATAGCTCAGACAAGCCAATAATCACTCATATATAATCATCTGCAGCATCTGGTTTTGTATCACATTTAAGGAGAAAGTTTCTTGCTCTTTGCCCTTTTATCCATAAAATCCACTTGCAAATGCACATGCAGTCTTATTGATCACCAATCTATCAAAAATTACTTCTTTACTAATTTCTCTGAGAAAAGAAGTTGCATTTCTTAAAAGTAAATACCAATACATGGTATTGGAATAAATATCAATTTTGTGACTTTTAATTGAAAACTGGTATTGGGATATTGATTAAAGCATTTGGTGAGGTTACATGCAAAACTCAGGACTACTCACTTTCTGTTGCCAATAAAATTTCCACTGATTTGTATTAGACATAAGCCCAAAGGATTAGCATTAGGAATTGCTAATATCAAGTGTTCATTTTGATCCAAAATTATATATGCTACTGGGGCTACTTGCTGCATAGAGATTGACATGTTTGTATTTAAACTTTTTTGCTTATATAAAGCAAGTGTTATATATAAGTAGGTGTAAGTTACTGAGATCTGATGCCTATCTCCCAGAAAAATGGAAGAATTGCATCTTTTTAATTGCTCCTTGCTATGTTCTCCAAACCAGACCAATAAGAACTGCTTAGCTATGCAAAAAAAGTCATTTAGCAAAAATAATCAAACTTCAGCAGAATTTCACCACCAGTCACTTCTCCAAAAGCCTGACTGTTCAGTTGGACACCACAGTTTGGAAATGCTCACAGAAACAGTTACATCATGGATTTCCACAGACACAGATGCATTGTACTCTGCTCAGGAAACTGAAACATTCTCCAAAAAAATACTTTTAAGAGATGTGATAACTGAAAGATCTCTGGCCTTGGACATGCAAAAAAATGCAACACATCCCCCTCCTCTGTAGTAGTGTCTGAGGCCTCTGATGCAAACAAGATTAGCTGTTGGTCCTTTATTTTAGAAAGGTTTTGTTACCAGGTACACCATGGCCATATAATCCCATTATGTTTCCTTCAATTTAGGCTTTTTCATTGAAATAAAAATTACTACAAATTCCAAAATATTTGCATTTAGAGCTCGAAAGCATCTACTGGATCACCAAGTACAGTCTTCCTGACTGCAAGAAGTGTTCATGAAAGATGTGGGGCAAAGGTGCCTTATCTCCCAGACAAAGAGTAGAACAGTCCTTCTGCCAGCCAGTCCTTCCCCAGCACAGTCAAAGAGTAGAACAGTCCTTCTGCCAGCCATGTGTGAAGCACCCCAGCACAGCCAGGACCTCACTTCTACTGCAGCTGTTAGAAAACCTTCCAGCACACCTGCAGGCCAATAAAAACAATGAGCACCTCACAAACCAAGGCCTGGGACTGCATCTTTATTTGTACACACATTCACACCCTACACCCACACACACATTTTCTTTTGCTTAAAATATTTTCCCTCCTGGGGTACTGTGAGAACACAAACACTCTCACATTCCTTTTAGAGGCAAGAAATTACCTTTAAACCATTGACTGAAATAGCTTAAAGTTTTAGTAATCAAGAAATATATAACTTTATCACTGGAGGTTTTTAAGAACAGACTACATTTTTATTGAGAACATGAAGTTGTGCCTTGTAGCTTGGGAAAGACTAATCAGTATCTTGAGACGCCTCACAACAATGTATTTTTAAAAAATAACATTAAATCAAAAAATCCACCTCGATTGACAGTATCAGGACGCACTTGAGAAAGAAGGAAGAAAACCTCCAAACATTCACAATCTGTTTCATATTTAACAGCTTTTTAAAACATCCTTTGTACACAGTCAGGCTGTAATAGTGCAGCAGTGAGCGGAGGCCTGAAGGTCATTAAATGTCAATGCACAGTGGTGCAGGAAAACTAAAACTAACACTTGAGTTGCTTTCACACAGACATTTAAAATATAATGGCTTATTGCTTCTTAGTGGTTGCAGCACCTACAATCAACAAACTTCCTCTTAACTGAAAAGTACAGGGCCATTTTACACATTTAAAAGCCAACATGATGTTTTTGTGGAAATAAAAGTTTGCAATTCTATGCAAAATCCCTAATACAATATTTTTTAAAAAGTTACATTTGACTAAAACAAACCTAGTAGTATGAAAAACAGGCCAGGCCTTCTATTAAGCCTAAAAGCAGAAGTATATTCTGCAATGTTTCCCAGCTGTCTTAATGCTGGGAATCATATTTCCTTGCTTTTCTCAACAGTCACCTAATATTGATATGATGTATTTTTCTTTCTCGCTCAATCCTTTTTGTTTTGCTTTGTGTTTCCTTCTATTGAACAAGGATCAGTGTGAAACAATCTACAGAGTGTTTTGAAGCAATACAGAGTCTGAATTATGATAATACACTAATTCCATGTGGTTCATCTATTACAGTGAAGCTGCTGATAGAGCATTTGTCCAGCTCCAGCTGGGGATTTGTGACAGGCCAGATTTGCCTGAATGGGACAAACTCAGAACAGTCAAAAGGAAAATAAAATTGTTTATGAATTCGGTAACCCACAAATCAATATTCAAGAAGTTACTTTAGAGGTTGGATCTAAATCCCTAGGAATGTATTCTGCTACTGCCAAACCTGTAAAATCTGCTGCCATTCCATATTGGTTTACTGTTACTGTTAGTTGAGGATCACATTTAGAAAATGCAAGGAGGAGAGTATCTGTTACAACCACTGCCCACAAATAATACAAATTTCCATCATGTCATGGATATATAATCTACCAGCTCAAAAAAAAAAATCCTGGAACACGACTCTCCTAGTACCACTTGTCTGAAAAGTGTTCATTGAAAAGGCTTCATAACAAGTATTTTACATGGAGTATTTTACATTTTCTCTTAAAAAGCCATGACTGCTTTCAACAGGTCACATTCCATATACTGATAATACAAAGACTTATTAATTCCTGTTAGATTATTTCTCAGGTTTTTAATTCAGTCTTTATGGATGGACTGGGTAACTCCTAAGGATCCTCCAGAAAATTAACATGAACAAAGACCTTAGCTGCACATTTAGCTGCCAGAGCTCCTCTAGCTTTTTCTTTTCGCACTTCTGAATGTACTAACTTTCCCTCCAACATAAAGACCTAACATCAGAGATATATTATTTAGTATCTTTCAGTTTTCTTTATAAACTATGTATCTTTATAGAATGTGTGAACTCCCACATACTTGGTTAATACCATAGAATGAAATCAGGGAATTCTGATTTATTCTGATCACCATTGATTTAGGTCACCATGGCAGACTAAGTGGTTCAGGAACAGCTTTATGAATTTTTGAGACATCTCCACATCATTGGAAGAAAGGTGAAGAAGGAGGGAAGATAGCTGAGAGCATTAAAGAACCAAAACAAAAATAGAAAACATGAGGAAAAATATATGGAGACTAGTATGGAGACTATTGTGCAGACAGCTTAACATTCCTAAACTGGTCTTAGTAGTAAGTGCACAAGAAGTCTCAGCTCTGAACACATCTGACAAACAAGTTCTGTTTACACCATTCCAAGGATTCACTCATACAGTGATAGCATTAGTACATTTCTTGCTCTCGGATATTTTTTTTCTTCTTTTATGCATTTCTGCTTAGCAGAAATTCAGTATTTGTGTGAGCATCTACTCTAATCTACTACCTGAGATTAAAAGAACAACTTACAGTACTAGAAGTAATCACTGCAAATGACTTCTTGGAAGTGAGTCAAGTCTTCCTCTCATCAACATTCAGCACCAGTGCCAGAGCAAGCAGAAGGAAAAAAAAAAGCAAACAAAATACAACAAGCAGAAAACAGAGAGGAGGAATAATGTTATTTCTCAGTTTAAAGGAGAAAGTCAGGGCTCGAAACTTTGTTTATTAAAGTCTCATTGCAGTGACCTGCATTTGCACAGGACAAACAAAAGGGAATTTTCATTCTTTTTGTATTATTCTGTACCTGTGGAGAAGTTAAGGGATACGTTTCCAGAACAAATGGAGCCAAAGATGTGCATGTAAGTATCTTGGTCTTTAACAGATACAGGTTTTTCCCTGTTCACCTTGTAAAATACTCAAGTAAAAAAAGGCAGTGAATACAGCACACAGCTGCCATTAATATTACACATTATTAATTCAGCAAAATTCACTTCCTCATTGAAGTCTGTTTATTGCTAAAATATGCAAATATCATGTTTATTTACAGGTACCTCCACTCCTATGACCTGTTCCAAAGAACTAATATTTGGCATCATTACTGGAACTCTGTCTAGTATGGGAGTAACAATATCACATCTTTGACAGGTTGCTAAAATATGCAAATATCATGTTTATTTACAGGTACCTCCACTCCTATGACCTGTTGCAAAGAACTAATTGGCATCATTACTGGAACTCTGCCTGTCTAGTATGGAAGTAACAATATCACATCTTTGACAGGCAGTTTATGATCAGGGTAAATTCACAAATGCAGTGTTAGTTAAGCTTTAATTTTAGTTTTCTAAATTTTTTTAACATTTCTAACATTTTCTCCAAAAAATATTCCATCAAACACACCAAACCAAAGAAAGTATTCAGAATTTTAAAAAGTATGATCAGGGTAAATTCACAAATGCAGTGTTAGTTAAGCTTTAATTTTACTTTTCTAAATTTTTTTAACATTTCTAACGTTTCCTCCAAAAATATTCCATCAAACAGATCAAACCAAACAGAGTATTCAGAATTTTAAAAAGTTAAAAGGCCTACAAGGAAAGTTTTAGAAAGGACCTCCATTCCTTGAGAAAAAGAAAACAGATCACAGAAGAAACCAGGTATCTTTGTCACCTTGTTGCCAATATATTATTGCAAAGTTTATGAATCCTTGTTTTGTAGGTTTTGGGTGATTTTAGCAAAATATAAAAAACTGATGTAGTTTTTCCTCAAATAATTTAACAATAAAAAAAAACCTTTACAAAACATTTGCAACAAGAAAAAGCTCTGTACTCCTAATTGTACACATGTGAACTTTCTAGAGAACAATCAGAACAAGAAACCTGCAAATGTATAAATAAAGGCAGAATTTGGTTTCTGTGACCCATCTGTAGTAGACAAATTTTTTTCAGAATTCATTCATCTTTGCAAATACTCCCATGGAAATCACAACAAATGATGTATATCTAAAGATTCATACCAAGATATTCAACACCAAGTCTTTCACATGACTCCAAGCAGGCCTTTTTTGTGTTTTCATAGCCATAATCACTGTGCCACAGTTTGGTGGTTATCCAGAGGTCCTCTCGCTTCACACCACTGTCTCTGATGGCCCTTTGGAGCAGGGATTCACAGCCATACCTCTTTGCTGTGTCAATGTGACGAATGCCACATCTCTGCAGGGCATGGACCACTGCAGCATGGGAATAGCCACCCCGGTGGGAAGTACCTAAACACACAAAAGCAGAAGTGAATTGTCAGCAGTGAATTATGAGGGGCATATTTTATCATTGTTTTCAATTTTTACTTTTATATATATATATATATATAGTCACAAAAACTTTTTATTTATTTCATTTCCTCATAGTAAGGAAATGGGAACTGACTGATCTTTAGGTCTTTAGGCTTGGAAAACACATGAAGTAGGAGAAGTTGGTGCTGATCAGAAGCAACTCCATCAAAATCAAATATCAACAGCATTTAATGTAAAGAAGTGATTCAAGGTACTAGGCTAAAAATCATCAAAGAGAAAACACACATTTTATAGGAAATTAATATATATGTATCTTAATTTTTATAAAGAAGCATAACATTTACAAATTTGAATATTTTAGAAAACCCAAAAATCTAAACAACTTTCAAAACCATTTACTTCTTAAAAAGCACATCCTGAAACCTTTACTCTGTTGAACTCCTGGGAGCTTGAAATCATTATTGCATTGTACAACCCCAGGCTGGGCCACAGTGCAGGTGCCAGTCACATAATGTGACATTCAGCAGTAACCAAAACAATGGAATCCTACAAAAGAGTTACAGAATGGGCATGCAGGGAGTTTCAGTAACAAAATCCTGCTACTGTCATTGTGTGGGGATTCACTGGATCTGTATTTTGCATGTCAGGGGGACGGAAGGAGGAGGAGACTCAGCAGGAAAAGCAACAACCAGGAGGACTTCAGATAAAGAACTGGTTGAGAGCAAGGAGGATGATGTTTCTACTTACCCTTTCCTGTTAGTTACTTTTCCTGCCATGAGCCCCTCACCCATTCACCCTCAGTCCACACACTTCCCACAAACAGTATTTTCTACAGTTTGTTGGAGGAAATGCTCAGCCAGTTCCCAAAGTCACCTCCTTCCAAGCTGATGATTAGTTCTTAAAGGCCCTCATGCTGTAAACAAGAGGCAGCACAAAGACTTGAGACACAGCCCTCCGCAGTCCTGAACAGGAACAGGGCTTCAACCACTGCTCAGTCGAAATACATGAATAAAGGACTCCAGGTTAAACAATTATTTAAACTGAAATTTGTACCTGCCCTTACCTTCTCTTTCCACCCCAAACACTACCTGCACGTTATGGAAGTGCCCCTACAATGGCCCCCCAGGCTGGCAGGAAGAGGCCACCACTGAAAGCACCAGAGCTGGCAGCAATGCCCAGAGGGGCTGCAGGACGTTCTCACACGCTTTGCACAACAGCAGCAACGAGGTGGGCTCAGAAAAGCCCGACTTGCATGGAAGGCAAACCAGGTTTTCCTAAATGCTTATCATTTGTGCTCGTTGCTGATCTTAGAAGGAAAGCCAGTGACTCTTGTTCAACACTCAAAGTCATTTAAACTAAGATACAATACAGTCTGATCTCCCACCCATACACATCAGGATCATGACATCCTGCTAAACACAAAAGGACAATTTCCACTTTACATCTGAGGCCAACAAAATGCGGAGTCAAAAACAAAACTCTTGACTTCATGGATTTTTAAGTGATGAAACTGTAATATTACGTTCCTACAATTTTGACATGCAGTCATAAAAAATTTACTTTCCAAACATAAACAAAGTTTCAATGTTATAAAAGACAAAACTTTAAATATTATTTTTCATAGCCACTAATTATGATTACTAATTGGCTTAATCTCTGAGCCAACTAGAAAGAAATGTCTCTACAACTTCTTTTACATCAAAATAAGCTAAGTCAAGCTACATTCGGCTAAGTCAAGTTGGTTTTCAAAATAGCTTTTTCAAAATCCTCATGAATGCTTAAGAATTTTAGATTACTGCAATGCTACTACATTATACTTATGGGCAAAGAATATATATGCAATTTTACAATATCTAAATCCTAAAGGAATTTTATTACAAAATTATATAACTAGCACAGAAAAATTACTATACTTCTTCACAACAAACCCTTCACTTTTAATATGCTGGTACTGGTGCAAAATAAATGAGGTTGTAACTATTGTGTCTGTTTCTGGCTGAATGGACATTTCTAAGCACAGAATCAATGGAGTTCATTTAGAGGTCTTGCAAATGGACTCAGACTCTTTTCATGCATAATGGATTTCAGTAAGAACATTTAGGACAAACAACTTTTTTTTAATTTTAACCCTTTAAGTTAAAGGGAGAGAGCGGTTAAGAAAGAAAAATCAGAATAATTTTGGTATTGTTCCCCATTCAATGATAGCATGCACACTCGTTACACAAGACATAAAGACAGCAAAATCAATCTGGAGGAAATTATCTCAATTTCTATGCCTAAAAATGCAGAAGGATAACAAAAGAGAAGGGACTGAACTTTCTAATTCTTTTTCCACTAGAAATTTAAACAATGCTATTTGAACATGTTAACATTCTCACATGTTTGGGATTCCCCTTTGCTCACAGAGATGTAATTCACACTGTACATATAGACAGAATCCAACCATGCATTTAAAACTAGTATGAACCTGCACCCTTCCATCCCCTTCCAGTTTCTAAAATATTTAATAATTTTTTTCCCTAGAATTTGCTGATAAGAAATAGGAGCTCCTTTCAAGAAACTATGTCAAATATCAGTAAGTTTGGAAAAGCTTCCTATTTTTTAGCTAATATTTTAACTTCTTTCCTGGAAAACAGCACTGTTACCTCTCTGACTGAACTAAGCCAAATTTGCAAGGCATGTAAGACAATTACATTCCTACAGATTTTGTGAAAACCTGGTGGTTGTAAGGGACAAGGATACTGCAGTGAAAATACGGAGAGGTCAGAGGATACAAATCCATGGAAAGTAGGCTTAACTGGTTACATTGTTATTTTGTCACAGTTGCTCATCACCTTCTTGGTACCCTGAAGAACGCTGCCATCAAAACTGGAGTGAGAAAATTCTCTAACAACCCATAAAATGCTACAAAGATTATTAGAAAGGCAGACTGCTGCTCACAATGTTACAGGGGAAAAAGCCCCAACATGCCAACAGCAACACCACCCCAACCCCTCAAAACCAGAAAATCAGCAACATCTCCACCCCTGACCCCACCAAATATGTAAAACAAGTAACAAACCACCCGCTATCGCCCCTCCCAGATTTATGCACAATCTCAGCTCTCAGCCTCATTAAACTTCGTGTTCTCCCTCACAAAGCTGTAGAGCTACAGAGAGAGATCCAAAGCACCAATAGCTTTTCAAAACTGAACCATGATCTGCTTTCTCCCCCTGCTTTCTCCCTCCCTTTGTGGAAAAGTGTCATGTAATTTGTGAAATGTGAAACGATTATTCATTTGAACATATAAAAATGACCAGTGATGTGAATAACTTTGGCTACCTGAATTCAATGGAATAATATTAGGAAAGTTCCTGCTGGCAAAACTCCAGCCAGAATATTTAGAGATCACATCAGAGATAATGATCTTCTGACATCAGTACCAAATTTAAAGAGTTAACAAAGAAAACATCTGTAAAAATACCATTCCTTGCTGATTTTTTTGTCTCAAAGTAATCACTTAAAAACTCTCAAAAGCAAAAGCTCAAACATTCTTTTCTCAACTTTTAGACACTCATTGTGTATTTACGGTATTTTATACCATACCAGGCTTGAAATACCTGATTCTATTAGTTTTAGTTCTACTATTTCAATATTACATTAATATAACACATCTTATGAATATATTATTTTTTTAGTGTTCATACAGTTTGATTTCCTTAGGTAATTACCTTATGATTAAATGTGATGATAAAGCATGAAATGGCCATACATAATGCAAATGAACATATAACACACTTCAAGGTTAATTGTTCATGCATTCACAAAACCACATGGAACCACTTTTCTATGGAAAGGCTCAAGGACAGACAATCCTCACTTGCTGTCCTTGCTGTCTTATATCCTCCTTCTGATTCTGTATTCATATGATCCTCTGACAAGCTGACTCAGACTGTTAAATGGCCAAAAAAAGAGACTACAGTTTCAGAATTATTCATGAACCTGAATGATTCCTCAGAGAGGAAAACCCACTAAATTTCATGCAAGGGATGAAGTAAAACAAGTTCCCCCTTTAGCAGAAGCAGGTAAATAATTTGATTTAATAAATGCTTTTATTTAAATTATAAGAATAAAAGCACAGTTGTGTCCTAACCAATCAACAAAAGATCAGAACAACCTTCTCCATGAACTTTTCTCCTGGAGCCCTTCTTTCTATTATATTCCCCAACACCATCCCTACAGGTGCTCTCAGACAAGCCAGTAATGTCACAATAACTTTCTACTATCACAGCACTAGACCCCAAATAAACTTGCCATAGTAAACTATTTGGCATAGTTTTATCTTAACAGTGTCAGTTACTCTGAAAATCCTATGAGCATCTGATGACAAAATATTCATGGATCCTCTCCCTAGATTTCTAGAGTGTAGGGCTTCCTTCTGCAGCAGGTGAAACCAAAGTCAACCTTGCTATGAAGTTACTGCACTCTACAATTTTCATGAGGCAGCTAGAGACTATTTCAAGGTAAAAGATCCAAATTTAATAACAATTACTTTTACAAAATAACTTGGATATTTTATTTGGAGTACAAGACTGGCCCACAATGTGTATATAAATTAGGGCAGCTACTCCTGAGGGAATGGAGCCTGTGGAGACAATGGGCTTCTGGAAAAACTGGTAGGACACCATCAGCAATAACTGAAAGACACTGAGCAAACTCCCATTACAAAATCAATGGTTTATAATTGGTCAGAACAGAAGCAGCACACAGGTTTATCTAAAACTCAGTCACTTAAGGCAAGTTTCTCTTGCCTCTGTAAAAGTTATTTGGATTATGAATGGTTTAAGTTTTTTAGTATGTAAATTTTACTTTGGTAATGCTTCTCTTTCTTATTCTTTTGTTTGCTTGCTAAATATGATCCATTGCTTAATGGGGGTCTGTTTTTCCACTGTGCAACTCAGAACACACTAACAGAATTCAGTAACATGAGCAAAAAA